AGAAATTGTATTTTTGGAAATAGTTTCCTCTCTATTTATAGCTAAATCCATAAGATAGTAAAGTTCTTACATGCTGTATCAGCATTGTTTTCTTTCTTCACATCAAATAGTTTTTTTTTTAATTTTCACATTCACATGAAAATTCCCACCATATAATGAAAATTGGAAAATGTAATTTTAAATTTTGGGTTTTTGAAATAAAATAAAAGTGTTTGATTTCATATTTTTCAAGTTTAACTTTATTTCATTTTTCAATTTTGTCCTCACATTATCTTTTTCTCTTTTCATACGTCCGAACATAAATGGCAAAGTAATAGAAATCCCACATTCCCACTATCCGCAAAAAACGACAAAAGAAAAAGCTAACGGTGGCGTTTACGTAATAAAAACAAAATATAGTGGCAATAATTTAGCACTTCTTTACTTAAACCCCGTTAACAAACTCCAACCACCCCTGTAACAGGTAATTACTTACACCCCCCTGCCCCCCCCCCCCCCCCCCATCTACCTCTCTCCCTCTTCTTCTCCTTCTTCTTCTTCCCTCGCTATGAGAACCACAAAGAACCAGAAACTCTCGCTACGAAGAACACAGAGAAGGAGAAGAACAAGAAGAGTAGTAGCCCATGCACGTGCAGCTTGCAGGCCTCGTACCTGCTCCAAGCTCTCCCACAAGCTACGGGCGCTCAAGAATCTCATTCCCGCTCAAAACGACGTCGCCGGCGGTGAGAACGTCAGAGCTGAGAAATTGTTCGAGGAAACGGCGGATTACATTATTCTGTTGAGGACCCAGGTAGTGGTTTTGCAGAGACTGATCGAGTTTTATGGGTCTGGCGCTGATGATCAGAAGCAAAATGCTGCTGCTTTCTGCCATTGATGAGAGGATGTTAATGCTCTGGTCTTGTTTAGATTTTGCATGGAGGGTTAGTGTGATTACAGATGGGGGAAAAAAGTGGAGGGAAATCAGGAGAATTTTGTGTTTTTTTTGGAACACTTTATATAATACATCACCACCATCATATATATATATAACGTTTAATCTTTTATGTTGTAATTATCAACATCTCTCTCTCTCTCTCTCTCTCTCTTGCTATTTTTGGTTAATCTGAATTTACTTCATATATACATAGATAGTATATAAATGTGGTTAATTTCTTCTTAGGGTTTTTTTTTATAATTTAAATATACATGACGCTTCCATTTGTGTTCTTGGACAGGAATTATTCAAAAAATATATATATATATATATATATATAATTTTCTTCTTCACTTTTTCATTTACTTAATTAATTATAACTTGTTCGCAGTAGGAACTAATTAAGAATATTAAGTAGTTCCAACTTTGCATGCATCTAAGCCTATCTTGCCCATGAATATATATACATTGATTTGGATCATCTGTATTTAAGGTTAATATGCTATTAATTATACATATATCTTGAAAATATTAGGAGTAGATAATATATGTATATATATGGAGTTGATGGTAATTAAAGGTGTAAAAATGGTGAAAAGGGTTCTGAGAGCAATTTATATAATGAGTGCAGGAGAGCATGGGTTGATGGTGATAAATATATATAATATAAAATAATATCCCAGTGAAATGGAAAGCAGCATGCCATTGCTGCTGTTGCTGCTGCTCTGAGTTTGGACACTGACTTATTATGAAATTCCATGTGCTAAAGCCAAATTTTTAGGAGCATCTCTCTTCTCCCCCAGCTCTCTTTATGTAATTTCCATTGCTTTTACAATTTTCAGGCTTTTGCTCCCTTAAAGTTCCAATATTCTTCATAGTGCAATTTGAAATCAGTCCAATTTTTTTTCTTCCTTCACTTTTATTTTCAAAAGTTATTCAGCCAAAATAGTTACCTGACATTAATGTTATCATAATAAATTACGCCCTTCAAGTCTCTCATGTGAAAAATTCCATACCGACATACATATATATATATATATATGTATATCGAACAGCTTTCTTAAACTTGGATGAAGGAAAGAATGAAATTGCACCCATGATTATGAGTATGATTACTGAAGAATATATACATATATATATATGTATATATTTATATATGTGTATAATTAGTGAGAGCTGTACGTACTTGCGAATCTTAATGATAATCAAGAACATAACTCCCAAAGATTAAACAGTACGTACAGAATTCTCTCCCAAGTACTCATAAGTATATATATATATATATATATAGAGTTTATAAAAAATAAAAAAACAGAATTTAGACGTATTTTTTTACCTTTTTAAAAAAATTAATAAATCCCATCAAAATTATAAATCTCACTTGTAAATTAAAAACAAATAAACTAACCCAAACTGTCCCAATTATAAGATCACAGTTTTGGTTAGCAGCTGAAGAAAGGAGCGTTGGCATTATGAACTTGCAGTACAAGCGAATTAATTCCCCTACCAAGAATTTGTGTAGCCGATCACATGCATAAATCTAATCCTGTTGTAAGAGGAAAAACCCAATTGAAAAGGAAAAGAAAGTTGATAGTATTAACCTCCAAATTACAGTATATTGGTACGTATTCTTTGGTTTAATTGTAAACACTCTTAAAGTATAAATCAATTAAATCAAGTTCGAGGGAAAAAAAAGACTTTAAATCTTGATAGAGAAGTGATAGATAAAATAAGAGAGTTAAATAAGATATAATAAGTTAATTCGCGTAAATTCTTATTTTATTATGTGTTTAGATTTATTGAATAAAAATAAGTAATAACGTATAAAAAAAATTATATTTATAATGTAAATAATGATTATGATAGTAACAATAACAACAATAATAAAAATAGTGATAACAATACTATTAAAAGTAATAAATATTATTGAGATAAATATAATAGTAGTAGTAATTGATGATTATACTAATAACAAATGAGATTGTGATAGAGACAGTTGTAATAGACGATGATAGCGACATAGATAGTAACACTAGTAACTCTATGTGCAACGATAATAAGATGTGATAATAAAACATAAGTAACAATAATGAATAAATAGTTCTTGGGAATAGCATCTTTATAATTCTTATCTTTTTTCTTTTAGTTTCTTAGGATCGGTTTAAATCTCATTCAATTTTTTTAGCATTTTATTATATATAATTAAAATATAATTTGTTGCATTTAAGGGGAAACACCTCAGATTAACAATGTAGCTCCTTCACTCATGAGCTTTTATTTCCTTGAAAAGATACAAGGCCTGGAGCATAAAAAGTGAAACGCAGAGAAGTAGTAGCAGCAAATTGAGATG